GGCCTGCTGTGTTCATCCAGCTCTACACCTTGTTACGTCTGTTGGACTATAACCTGGTGTCGTGTGACTTCTGACATTATTTGATTGTATATTTTCCCCAATGTCTCCTATTTTCATCTCTGATAACACTGAAAATGCTGGGGTATAGTTCTAAAAATGGCAACAGTCCTCCAGTGCAATCATCATTTTTTATGTTAACCTAGACAATAGTTGTTAGGACCTACTCAACGCATGCAAGCTACACACCGTTCTGATGGCTTGGAGGTGATGACAAGAGGAAATACTATGGCGAGTTGACTGGAGACAAACCCACCCATTTCTTGCCACTCTGCTATGAAATGCCTGACATGAAGGCCCATGGACAATATTCTGAACTCTCTTATAACTCAGGCTCTTAAATAGTCAAGCAGAGTGATAGAGCCTTAGAGTTGTACAGCACAGAAACAGACCTTTGGGTCCAATCCAATTGGATTGATCATCCACACCAACCAGATATCCTAAACTGATCTAGTCCCATTTGCCAGCATTTGGCCCATGTCCCCATAAACCCTTCCTGCTCGTATACCCATGCAGATGCCTTTTAAATGTTGTAATTGTACCAGCTTCCACGGCTTCCTCTGGCAGCTCATTCCATACACACTCCACCCTTTGCACGAAAAAGTTGCCCCTCAGTTCCTTTTAAATCTTTTTCCCCCTCACCTCAAACCTATGTTGTCTAGTTTTGGACACCTCTACCCTGGACAATAAAGGCCTTGGATATTCACCCATACCCCTCATGATTTTTTAAAAGAAATTCTATAAGGTCACACCTCAGCCTCTAACACTCCAGGTAAAAATGCTCCAGCCTATGCAGCCATTCTCTATAGCTCAAACACTCCAATCCCAGCAACAGCCTTGTAAATCTTTTCTGAACCTTTTCAAGTTTAAAAACATCTTTCCTATAGCGGGGAGACCAGAACTGAACACAGTATTCTAAGAGATAGTAAGAACTGCCAATGCTGGAGTCTGAGATACACAGTGTAGAGCTGGAGCAACACAGCAGGCCAGGCAGCATCAGAGGAGCAGGAAAACTGACGTTTCAGATCTGGACCCTTCTTCAGAAATATTCTAAGGGTGGCCTCACCAATGACTTGTACAGCCGCAACGTGACCTCCCGGCTCCTATACGCCATCACAAACAAAAACATTTATGAAGAGAAATCAGAGTTAACTTTTTGGATTTGCTGACCCTTCATTGGAAATGATTTATGGTTATTTTTCTAATATATGCAATCTGTCTGTGTCCAACATGTCTAAAGTCTTTTTTTCCTGTATAACAGTGAATGCATCTAAAAGAAAAATATATTGAAATTCATACAAAGTGCTATTTAAATGTAATTTATTACTTTATGTAATGTTCATCATTAACTTATTCAACCTCTCCCTCCACAATATCTTTGCAGCTGTCTTTCTATTCTCTTATCCAGTCTCTGGAGAACTTCTCCACCATTTGTTGAAGAACCATTAGCGTTCTTGCCTGTATTTTCTGGACTCTTTCCTTTTAAGTACATTTGCCTTTCATCCTCCCAAGTTCCAACTGTTCAGAGTTTTCTAAATGCCTGTTGTTGACCAAGTTTAGGTCACCTTTGCCAACTGCTCCCCCGCCACTGCCCACCACAGACAGACAAACACACGCACACACAAAGGTTGATCAGCATCAATATGCTTTCTCCTCTGGATTGCTTTGAAATCTATTCTGCATTAAAGAGTTAAATATACACATGGATAGCTCTGGAGTGCCCTCTTTTGGTTACTATTTCTCTCCTTTCAGAAAAAAAATCATAATGTTGATGCTTTTACTTGTCAAGCACAATATCAGTATTTTTTTTTAAGAACACAATTTAAATCAAAAAAGAATAGAGGTCAAATACTGACAGTATGGTTTGTGTTCCTTCATGTTGTGCTCTATAGTTTATGGATCATAGCCAGGACCTATGAAGACCTACATCCCAAATTAATTCAGGTTATGACAGGAAAAGTATCAATTGAATGACTTATTTTTGCCGTACACAAAAATCACTGACTGTTTCAAAGCTGGCTACTGGACTGCATGCATATAACTCCGAATAATAAATTCAGCAGGGTTTTAGCTTCCCTCCTGATCATGGGGCAATAGTAATGTGATTGAAAAATACACTGTGAGGTGATCCACTAAAATGGCAAAGAAAATACCAGTTTTTATCTGATCTGTGCTGATTTAACTGGTCTCAGACAAAGATGCAATAACGGAACAATGCATCATTTCAATATTCATAGGTTAAGTTAGTGAAAATCATGATTAAAACTCAATTAACTGGAAATAAGCATGAATGGACATTGACTGAGGACAAGATCAGGACCTGCTAGGATAAATAATCTGGTAACACTGCAATGTCAAATACAAGTAGTATGGATATCATTTCAAAAGATTGCCACTTTGTCCTAAAATGAATCGAATCTAGGAGAAGTAAGCACTGGCTTGATGGTACCAGTCTCACCTCTTGGTCAAAATGGTATAAATTTACTGTCATAACCTCACACAGAATGAATAACAAGTTTGTGACTGATATTCAATGCAATGCTAAGAAAGTGCTGTACCTTCTCAGGATGATATCCCATTTTGAGAAGAAGACCAGAAGAGCTATAGCGTCATACAGCACAGAAGAGGCTGTTCGGCCCATTGAGTCTGTACCAACTTAACTACGCTTGTCCCACTTTCTAGCACTTGGCCTAGAGCCTTGAATGTTATTACATTTCAAGTGCTCATCCATGTATTTTTTAGAGATTGTAAGGTTTCCTGCCTCTGCAACCCTCCCAGGCAATGCATTTCAAATTCCCACCACCCTATGGGTGCAATAGAAATTCCTCCAGTCCCCTTTAAATCCTCTGCCTTAAAGTTATGCCCCTTCTTATTGACCTTTCAACTAAGGGGAGCAGCTGTTTCCTATCCAATCTGTCCAGGTCCCACATAATGTTATACACCTCAGTCAGGTCTC